ACCACCAATAGGACAAATCATATTTAATTTAGTTTCACCATGAATAATGAACAATGTTTCAATAATATATTGTAGTATAATCGAACAATCATCTGGCACTAGATAAATGTTGAATAAACAAAAAAAAAAGGAGAAGAAAAATATAATTATCATCAATATCATAGATCAAAATTTGTGTGCACTTACAAACGGCAATAATTGCTATTTTATACAAGTTCATTGCTGAATAGGACAAGTAATCAATAGAAGACGAGAGAAATTCTTCAAAAAATAAGCATTGTTTTTCTTTTTGTTCATATGAAAAGGTATAGATAGTCGAGGGTGGTCGTGGTACATGATTAAGATAATGAGTCACTCGAGGATTTTTACTATTAGGACTCACTGACATTGTATTAATTAATTGAGCATCTGTTGTTTCGTGGAAGGAAGAACTTTCTCTCGCTTGCCGAATATAAGCAATGTCTTCAGCAAGTGCCTCATGCTTCACCATAGGAATAAAACACCAATAGTTCGGATTACAGTCGAGAAATAAACGAAGTGCTGTTGGACATCGTGCAGAATGTTGATAGAGACGCATTTTATCGATCATTTTGTTTCTACAATAAAAATATTATCAATATCAAAGTATCGAACAAAATTTTCTATATCGTTGTTCTCTCCTACTTACTCGCTTTCGTTTGAATCGAATAGTGTGCGTGGAGATCGGGAAATACCAGTTAACATTTCATGTATAATTCGATTACCATGTTTTCGATGATCTATATCAAAAATAATAAGAGAAAATACAAAGGTATATATATACATACAAACTATAGCATCAACTAATGTCTTTGCAGTTGAATCGACATAATCATAATAACCACATGGACATGTCATCGTATAGATCACATTCGATGTTCTACATGTCTAAATGTGTCAATAATAATATTATTTTAATTAGCAAAATAAAAATATTTTAATAATATTAACATACGACTGGACAATTTAGATAAGTTGTATATCCATTCAAAAATTGATGCATTGAACTTGTATCGAAATCAACGACTGGTCCTAATTGATTTTGTGTTCCATCACCCATTCTTGACGGATGACAACATGGACAAAATGGATTGACACATGGAGACATTGTATATCGCGCATGTGGTCCATCCTTTCCACAGAATAGACCTTCCACAATGGATTGTGGTTCAGCTCCACGAAACGAACAAGTTTTCATGTAGAATATATCTACTAAAAAATATCAAAAGAATACTTCAAATGTATATATTTGATGGTGTCTCACCATCTATTTGTAGATAGAATTCAAGTAGCACGATCATTTGTTTCGAATTAAGTATGAATTCTTCTAAGGCAATATCATTTTGAAGTAGAATATTTTTTCGATATGATTTATATAATTCAAGAAAATAATAACAGATACCACGAATTTGATTAGCATTAAATGTGATAATTGACTTTCCAATTTGTAATCGTTTCGATAATTCTTCAGCATCTTGTTCAGACAAACTAAATCCATCATGATCAGAATACTTATAATTGTTCATTAGTGTTATTGCATCAACAGTATTTGCTCCATGTTGACGTCGAGCAATTTCACTAGGTCCAAGTTGAGTCACTAGATGATATGATACAATGATGATTGATAATTGTTATGTTTGGAATACGAACCTGGCACATTAGCTAAAAGTAGATAATTATTTCGACTAAAAGCAATGGTTGGAAATAAAGGTAAATAATTACGACGTGCTTCATTATGTAGATCCAATGTTATTGGTTCATATCTCGCTTCATTATCATCAGTAGTAAATGAAGCAACTGCTTTTTCTGCTTGATTTAAATCAATAGTGTTAAAATTCATATTGCAAAATTTGGGAGTTATACTTTTGTTTATCAAGGTTATATCTAAAACAGAGAAGGATAGATAAACATATAGAACAATTTGTTTTTTAATTAAGACATAGAAATACATGACAAACTATACAAAATTGAATAGATATGATTATTTTTAGTGGGAGAATTAAAGTTATGGAAAACGTAGACGAGGATGAATGAAATGTTGATACCAATTATTATTATTATTAGAGTTAGCAGAAGTCAATATTGAATCATTGATAGTTCTATTTAATTTCGGTTCGGCATGAGTTACTAATAAAGCTTGTATGAGATGACGCATTTCATCCGACGAATTATCTGGTACTAAAATAAAAATAGTAGTTTTCGAAGATAATTTAGATCACTTACAAGCCATGACAATTGCTGAATTGTATAGATTAACATATCGTGATGTAAATAAATCAAATCGATTTCGAAAAAATTCCCTTTGATCAAGTTTTTGTCGTAATGAAAATTGATAGTTGGAGGGAGGCGATGGTATATTATTCATACACCAACTTGCATTAGGGTGTGGGTGTGGTGTGGGTGTGGGTGTGTATTAAAAAGAACTACCATGACATGTTTCGATCTTATT